AATACCTTGATGAAATGAGTCAAGAACTAGGCTGTTACCCTTATTCTTTAGAGATATTAAGAAAATTTGGTTTTAAGATATTGAAACTCGTCTTATTTGGAATTAGAACCCCTATTCAGGTAAATTTGTTAGAAATTTTTGACTTTGTAAATATGGTGATACTAAAGCTAAATATTTTTTTAGTATCGATTACTTGGAAGACAATCCTGGGATGGTGCTAAAGATGCGCTTTTGATTTATAATAAAATAGATCCAAACCAGTGTTAGGATATTATTAACCATTAAAATAGTAATGTTAAATAATAATATTCTACTTATAGTAAAAAGTAAATCAATATATCTTTTTTTGAAAACTAAAAGTGTACAAAGCTACTGTATACTCCGGTGAATTAAGAAAAATTCTGGCGTAATTTTTTAGCAATCAGAAATTTCCGTTACTTGTAAATTAATACAATCTACTATTAATAAAATATTGCATTTGAATGCTGCCAAGGGAAAGTCTCAATCAAATATATTATTATTTGCTAGATTCAGCCTTGCTCAAAGACATATATGATACATGAGTAAATTTCATTATCATATTTATTTCTGATAACGGCCGAGTCTAGCAAATAATAAACATTATAGTTTTTTCGTTTTGCCTTGAATGAGGACATAGTAATTACTATGTTCCATAAGGTCATTTTCAAGGCAAAGACTCCATATACTTAAATTCCCGATTCGAAGTTTTTCCCTTGGGCACCCATATGTAAAATAATATAAGATACTACTTATTATAACCAATTTCTTATTAATCTCCGGCTACAGATTCAAAATTCCTTTACAGCTATTTTCATAATTCCTGGAACACCTGATAAAAATTGACCGAATAATGCTTCGGCCGATTCGATTAATTAAGTGATTTCGTCAAAGTACGTAACTTTTACATTAACTATTACATTAACTAGTGCACTGGCACATGATTATGCACCTGCATTACGAAAGCTTTGCCAGCACTATGAAAGTTTTGGCCAACGTTATTTACATGCAAAAATTACATAGCAGAAACTTTACCGGGGTAAATTCACCACCCAAATTTTTTTCAGATCATGTGATATGATTGTTCGGAGAAGCGGAAACTCTAAT